TTGGGTGGTTTAGGGGTTGGGAATTGTGGTGGGTGGGAGTGTGTTTGGAGATTATTATGTGTGTTGGACCTGGTCTTTGGGTGTTAAGTGAATGGGTGTACTGTGTATACACGTACAATGACAATAAAGTTATTTATTTATTATTGTAAAGCACAGTGAAGTGGTATAAATGTCCTAAAGCTGCTTTTTCAAGAGGCAACTGGACTTTCTGGATTTTCTTTGAAGACATTTCAATTCTCATCCGAGAAACTTCTTCAGCTCTCTCTCTCTCTCTCTCTCTCTCTCTCTCTCTCTCTCTCTCTCTCTCTCTCTTCCATTCTCTTTCAAGTAGCTCCATTCATTTCTTCAAGGCATTTCTTTTAACAATTCAGCTGGGGACAGAGTGTTCCTGAATGAGAAAGGGGAAGCAACTGGTGGTTTCGACATCACCAACTTGATCACTTTTCCAAACGGATCCTTTCAGAGAGTTAGAGTTGGAAAGATGGGTCCTCATATTCCCAATACGAAGGAATTAATCATTGATGAAGAGCTGATTGTGTGGCACCCAGCTTTTAACCAGGTGTGGACTCAGTATTATTTGATATACTTTTTACTCTTTGTATTAAGATATAAACCTTTATTATGAAATTATTCAATATTTCAATGTATCATGCTAATACCAATTACAACATTGTTTAAGCATGCATAATAATAATACTCTCTTTCAACCTCTAATCTTGCCATTTAATTCTTTAATTTATTCTATTTAATCAGGCCAATCTTACTAATTCTAGTATAGTACATATATTGTATTAAAATCTAATCCCCTTACTCCATCCTGACAACAATCACCATATTATTTATACATACATATTAAATCCATCTTTCAACCTCTAATCTTCTGCCCATTTATTAATTTTATAACACATGTATCTTTATTTCTACTTCTACTTCTATTATAAGAAGTATAAGAAGAAAAAGAGCCTTGGTGGAGCAGCAGACTAAAGTGCTGTTAAAGTAGCACTTAGCTGCCAGCTGCCTGCAATTACTGTGAGTTCAAATGTCACCAGGTTCAAGGTTGACTCAGCCTTCCATCCTTCCGAGGTAGGTAAAATGAGGAGCCGGATTGTGGGGGCAATAAGCTGACTTTGTATAAAAAAGAACACCGCTTAGGGAGGGCCAAAAGCCCTACTAAGCAGGTATATACAAAAGTAAGAAGGTGATTGCTTAACGCATTGTAAGCCGCCCTGCGTCTCCGGAGAAGGGCTGCATATAAATCAAACCAATCAATCAATCAATAAATAACTTTTAATCAGGCCCCCATTATATTAAAGAAAGAAGGGGGGAACATGGAAACCCCTTTCCTTTCTATCCATCTCTTGCCCATTTTAATATTTCAATTCTTATTTGTTTTTTGACATACCTCCCATACTCCTCTCTTGGATCTTTGTCTCTAACTACCTCTGCATTTTTACTGTTTCGACTTTTTCTGTTTACTCTTTCTATATTCCTCCATCTCTATCCTCTTATGCTGCCAAGCCTCCAGGGTATTTGCCCAAACTCCTATCTCTTTTTCAATGGTATCTTCCCATTCCATTTTGAAATCTATAAAATACTTTTCCCCTGATTTGTTTCATTCATCATTATAGTCTTTATTATCTTCTCTTCTTGTTTTGCTTGTTGATTTATCTATTCTGTCTTTTCCTCCATTCTTTCTATTCTCTCCTCCCTCTCCTGGGCATCTTGGCCTTTATTCATTGTCCCTTGTAGAATCTTTTCTATTTTCACCATCTATGCTTTGCATTAAATTGGTTATCTCCCTGAAGTTTTTTGTCATAGAGTCCTTAATGCTTTTGAACATCAACAATATTTCTGCCTGGGATAGTGCGGCTGCCGGGGCTTTGGTTCAAGTCGTGCCTTTGCGGCCTCTGACCTGGCACCGAACTCACTTAGCTCCTTGGTTCTCCCGAGGAGCTGAGAGAGATGAAGTGCCAGAAAAGAGGCTAGAGCTAGAGAGCGGTTGGATGGCCAGCCGTTCCGAATCCAACTTGACACTGGTAAGGTCTCATATTAAGACCTACCTAGTGGCGATAAAAGTGGCGAAATCTAGCTATTTTGCCGCTCTTATCGCATCATCAGTTAACCGCCCAGCCGCCCTGTTCAGGGTGACTCGCTCTCTTCTCCATCTGGGAGCACGGGAGGACCCCTTGCAGGGCCGAGCTGAGGATTTTGTACAGTATCTGGATGATAAAATAACTCAGATTCGGGAAGACTTGGCCGCTGACTGGGTTAGTTCAGATGAGATGACTGAGGCAGGCCTTGAGAGTGTTATCTGGGAGGAGTTCGATCCTGTGGCTCCCGAGGACATGGACAGGATCTTGGGACGGCTGAACGCCACCACATGTTTATTGGACCCGTGTCCCTCCTGGTTGGTGCTGGCTTCCCGGGAGGTTACACGAGGCTGGCTCCAGGGAATTATCAATGCTTCTTTGAGTGAGGGTGTCCTGCCGGCCGCCTTGAAAGAGGCGTGGTGAGGCCTCTCCTCAAGAAGCCATCCCTGGATCTGGCTGTTTTGCCAACTATCGTCCAGTCTCCAACCTTCGCTTTATTGTGAAGGTTGTTGAGAGTGTGGTGGCGCGACAGCTTCCACAGTACCTGGATGAAGCTGTCTATTTGGATCCACTCCAGTCCGGCTTCAGACCTGGGTACAGCACGGAAACGGCATTGGTCGCGTTGGTGGATGATCTCTGGAGGGCTCAGGATAGGGGTTATTCCTCTATCCTGGTCCTGTTAGACCTCTCAGCGGCTTTTGATACCATCGACCATGGTATCATGTTGCGCCGGCTGGAGGGACTGGGAGCGGGGGGCACTGTTTTGCGGTGGTTCTCCTCCTATCTCTCCGACCAGTCGCAATCCGTGTTGACAGGGGGGCAGCGGTCAACCCTGAGGCGCCTTGTTTGTGGGGTGCCACAAGGGACGGTCCTCTCACCCCTCCTGTTCAACATTTATGTGAAGCCGCTGGGTGAGATCATCCGTGGTTTTGGGGTGGAGTTCCATCAGTACGCTGATGATACTCAGCTGTACATCTCCACCCCAGACCATCCCAATGATGCCTTGGAAGTGATGTCCCAGTGCCTGGAGGCCGTGCGGGTCTGGATGGGGAGAAACAGGCTTCGACTCAACCCTTCCAAGACCGAGTGGCTGTGGCTGCCGGCGTCCCGGTATAGCCAGCTGACGCCATCGCTGGTTATTGGGGGCAAATCATTGGCCCCCATGGAGAGGGCCCGCAACTTGGATGTCCTCCTGGATGCGCAGCTGTCTTTAGAACGGCATATGACAGCCGTGGCCAGGGGGGCTTTTTGTCAGGTTTGCCTGATATGCCAGTTGTGCCCCTTTCTGGACCGGGACTCCCTACGCACGGTCACTCAAGCACTCGTCACTTCTCGTCTGGACTATTGTAACGCTCTCTACATGGGGCTCCCCTTGGGGTACACCCGGAGGCTCCAACTGGTGCAGAATGCGGCCACGCGGGGGATTATGGGAGCGACTGGGCGCTCCCATGTGACTCCTCTCCTGCGCAAGCTGCATTGGCTTCCGGTGGACTTCTGGGTGCGCTTCAAGGTGTTGGTGATCACCTTTAAAGCGCTCCATGGCTTAGGGCCAGGGTACTTACGGGACCGCCTTCTGCCACCAATAGCCTCCCACCGGCCAGTTCGCTCCCACAGAGAGGGCCTCCTCAGGGTGCCGTCGGCTAGACAATGCCGGCTGGTGACCCCCAAGAGCAGAGCCTTCTCTGTGGTGGCACCTACCCTTTGGAACAATCTACCCCCAGAGATACGAGTGATCTCCGACCTCCGGACTTTTTGTCGGGCCCTAAAAACTCATCTCTTTCAGTTAGCCGGTCTCTCTTGATTTTATGATTTTATGGCTGGTTTTAAATTTTGATATGGATTTTAAATTGATAAATTTTAAACTATGGGCCAAATTTAATTATTTTAAATCTATTTTTAATAGTACTTTATGTATAAATGTTTTTATTTTGGCTGTTCACCGCCCTGAGTCCAAAAGGAGAAGGGCGGTATAGAAATTCGAATAATAAATAAATAAATAATAAACAATATATCTTTTGAACTTCCACTCATTTCCCCCATATGGAGCATCTCGTCTTATTTTAATAAGGTCCAGTTTTACTCAATAGTTCAACAACCATATATTCAGGCCAAATGTTGCTCTTCAAAGAATACTTTAGTCACAGTTCTTTCATATCCCAGGGTTATTCATTCAGACGTTGAGGTAGTCCAGGGAACTCTCCAAATATCTCTTATGTCCCCTCTATAAGTTTAATCATATATCTTAACATTCAAAAATTGCTTTACTTAGGTATCTTCCTTGTTCTCACCATTGCACCGCCCATAGTCATAAGGTAGATAAGTATAGAACAGTAAATATCACCACAGTTTTCCAAATAAATGTTGTTTATTTTTCTAATCAAAAATTTTCCCATGGTTGTAGAATATGGTATGTTTTCCTTTGTCAGTAGATGGCGCTCTCAGCAGGAGAGATTGTGACTCTCTGAGACCTACAGGGTGCCCCTCTTTTCTTCACTATCCCTCCAGGGTGGCTTTCATTCCTTTCAGAGCCCTTTAATGTGGAGAACTTGGTGTGGGAGCTCGGAGACCCACTTCTCATGTCCAATATCGCTGCGATATCAGCCAGAAGTCAGGAATTCAAATATTCTTCTCACTACCATGAATGAGAACATTATAAACTGCTTAAAAATTTCCCTTTACAAAATCATTTATATTTATCACCAGGTTATTCCCTTTTCTCAATGTAATGACCCTTGCTACCCTGGATACTGGAAGAAAGGATTGGAAGGAAAGCAATTCTGTTGCTACAACTGTGTTCCTTGCCCAGAAGGGAAGATTGCCCAGATAGGAATTGGTTTATCCTCAGCAGCTCTTTGTTTCTTCTTCTTGACTTCTTGGGTACTTGGAACTTTTATTATGCACAGGGATACTCCCATTGTCAAAGCCAACAATCGGTCTCTCACCTACACCATCCTTGTCTCTCTTTTGTTCTGTTTCCTCTCCTCTTTGTTCTTTCTCAGCCAACCTGACAAGGTGACCTGCCTTCTCCGACAACCAACTTTTGGCATCACCTTCTCAGTGGCCATTTCTAGTGTGCTGGCCAAAACCATCACAGTGGTTGTGGCTTTCATGGCCACTAAACCTGGATCACAGATGAGGAAGTGGGTGGGGAAAAGATTGGCTTTTTCTGCTGTTCTTTCCTGTTCTATTGTCCAAGTATGTATTTGTGTTCTTTGGTTGTCAACATCACCTCCATTCCCTGAGTTGGACATGCACTCAGAGCTCCAGGAAGTGATTTTACAGTGCAATGAGGGATCAGCTTTCTTTTTCTACTGTGTCTTGGGCTACATGGGTATCTTGGCCATTGCCAGCTTTATTCTGGCTTTTCTTGCCCGTAAATTACCTGACAGCTTTAATGAAGCCAAGTTCATCACCTTCAGCATGTTGGCCTTTTGCAGTGTGTGGATCTCCTTCATTCCAGCCTATCTGAGCACAAAAGGCAAAGCCATGGTAGCTGTGGAGGTCTTCTCCATCTTGTCCTCCAGCGCTGCATTACTGGGATGCATATTCTTGCCAAAGTGCTACATCATTGTTCTCAGACCTGACCTCAACCACAGGGAGCAACTGATAAAGAGGAATTAGAACATTATGTAATATTTCTGCCTTTGAGAAATTGCTGACAAAAAAAGAGAGAAGGATTGTTTGCTATCCATAGGAGACATATAGAAGTCCTTAATTCTGACAACAGAGGATTGATGGAGTATTATCCCAAACAGTAAGATTTATTATAGTTGCCAATTGCAAAAAAAATGTTCATGCTGCTGCATTTGCAATCATTCTCCAATATTCTTTAATTAAACAACTTCTGTCTTTCAACACCCCAAGATAGCAAGATATTGAGAATCCAGTTCTTGTGTTAGAAGATTAGAGATACTGAATCAAATCATGTCCAATATTTGCAGTTTCCTTATTTATTTATGTAGAAAATTTATACCGCCTAATTGCTCACAGTGAATCTAGGCAACTTATTGTCAATAAAATGCAACATAGAAGATAATAAAGAACTATATCCCCCTCTGGCAACAACACACAGTCAAATAAGTCTGTAGATAGTCTCAGTCATCCATGTCATGGTTGTCCCAAAGGTGCTTTTCATGAGGCAACTGGACTTTCTTTCTTTCTTCCTTTTTTCTTTTGAAAACGTCTTCAAAAGAAAAAACAAGAAAGTTCAGTTGCCTCCTGAAAAAGCACCTTTGGGGCAGTGGTGAAATCTGAACTGGTTCACTACCAGTTCGCTGGCTGTGCATGAGCATTGTGCACCAAAGGTTATTGTCCGAAATCCTCCGCCCTGCCTTCCAAGGGATCCTCCCGCACTCTCGGATGGAGCAGGGAGCAGGTTACCCTGAACAGGGTGGCTGGACGATTCCCTGATGACACAATAGAGGCGGAAAAGTAATTAAACTTTGCCATCTTTATCGCCACTAGGTAGGCCTTAATATGCGACCTTACCAGTGTTCGATCAGATTCAGGGAGACTGGCCCTCCAACCGCTCTCCAGGCGTCTTTTCCGGTGCTTCATTTCTCTTAGCTCCTCCATGAACCAAGGAGCTGCCCGGGATCGGCACCGGATCAGAGGCCGCAAAGGCACGACTCGGTCCAAGGGCCCACCAGCCACCCGATCCCAGGCGGCTACCAGGTCCTCGGCCGAGTCATGTGCTAGATCCTCAGGAAATGGCCCAAGCTCCATCTGGAACCTATCAGGATCCATCAGGCACCTGGGGCAGATCCATCTAATTGGGTCTGCCTCCCTGCGGCGAGGGGTAGCGGTTCGAAGATCCAGGTGAAGGAGCGAGTGGTCAGTCCATGACAAGGGTTCCATATCTATATCCCCTATAACAAAACCACTCAACCACTGGCCAGAGACAAAAATCAAGTCCAGAGTGTGACCTCCCCTGTGAGTAGGGCCATGAACTAATTGGGTCAGGTCCATGGCCGTCATGGAAGCCATGAACTCCCGAGCCACCTCAGATGTTTCACCGACAGATGGCAAGTTGAAATCACCCATGACTAGAAGCCTGGGTGTATCTACTGCCACCTTGGCTATCACGTCGAGTAGCTCAGGTAGGGCTGTTGCCATACGGCAGGGAGCCAGGTATGTAAGCAACAAGCCCATCTGAATCCCACGACCCCACCTCACAAGGAGGGACTCACATCCGGCTATCTGAGGCACAGTGGTCTCCCTCGGACCCAGATCCTCGTTAATAATAACCGCCACCCCCCCGCCCCTCCCCTGGGCCCTCAGCTGATGGAATGCTCTGAAGCCTGGTGGGCACATTTCAACCAGAGGGACACCTCCCTCCGGGCCCAACCAGGTCTCCGTAATATCCGCCAGGTCCGCCCCTCCCTCTTGTATAAGATCGTGAATGAGGGGGGCCTTATTTACCATGGACCTAGCGTTGCATAACATCAGCCGAAGGCCCAGATCCTGAGTGTCTAAGCCACCTAGTCTCTGAGAGGAGCCGTGCGGACCGGGGCAAGCAATTGCTCTCAGACAGCGAGTGCGAGCCCCCAGCACATGATATGGTCCCCTGCTCCCACCATATCTGCCCCTCCCATCTACCGTGCTGATGGTACAGACCTCATAGGTATCGTCCCCCTTCCCTTTCCCAATCCCGTGACCAGCACCCCCTGAATCATTACCCTGTGCTGGGCTCGGCTCTGACCCTGGTGGATTTCCCCCCCATCCCCCAGAGTCTTCTTCCCAATTTCACTAGAAAGATCATTACAACCCCCCCCAGAACCCCTTAAAATCTTAAAAGATTTCCCTAGAAAACCCCACAAATTCTTCCTTGCTCCATGCCATCTCTCTGGACTCCAAAGTCCGTCATCGAGATAGGCCTTCGATTATGAGGAGGGCCAAACCTGAGAGAGGGGAGAATCTCGCAGGGCGAGGAGTTCAGACACCGAATACATATAATCATCAGGGGAGCCAAAGTCCAAGGGTAGGGAAGATATTTTCCATGGTCATGTGGCCAGCATGGCTATATGCCAAAGGCACAAGGAACATAGTTACCTTCCCACCAAAATGGTACCAATGACTCTACTCACATTTCCATCCTTTTGAATTCCTAGGTGGGAAGGAGCTGAGGCAGGAATGGGAGCTCAACCTATTGCATAGTGCTCAGGTCTCAAACCCTGGCTGTCAGCTTTCCAGCTGTGAAGCTCAGTGTCTTTGACCACTGAGCCATTGCATATTTATACTATCTATTAAAATGCTGACATTATAAGGATGGCAAAGGGCGTGTTTGGAGAATGGCAGGGTGAATAAAGAAATATATGTGATTACAATATGATGGAAACAGGATCTTATTATTTCAAAAGGAAATGCAACCCAAATTTGAATACTTGTCTTTTAAATTGTAATGTCAATCTGTCTATTTGATGAATGCTTGATCATTTTCAATCTGTCAATTTGATCAATGCTTAATCATTGACAATATTTCTACAGAAGATGGCATTTCAAAAATCACAAATTAGATTTCTAAAGAGGACTGTGTTCAATATTGGATCATAATGGATCAAGGAAGAGTTGATTAAATGATTCCACACCTGGTTAAAAGCGGGATGCCACACAATCAGCTCTTCATCAATGATTAATTCCTTCACATTGGGAATATGAGGATCCATCTTTCCAACTCTAATTCTCTGAAAGGATCCATTTGGAAAAGTGATCAAGTTGGTGATGTCGAATCCACCTGTTGCTTCCCCTTTCTCATTCAGGAACACTCTGTCCCCAGCTGAATTGTTGAAAGAAATGCCTTGAAGAAACGGATGGAGCTAGTTGAAAGAGAATGAGAGAAAGAGAGGGCGGGGAGAGAGAGAGAGAGAGATGAAAGGATAATAATGAAAAAGAGCCCAGTATATTTAACTTTCACTTACTCATTCAAATAAGTACACTTAGAATATAGATATGTACTCATATCCAATAGTACTCTTAGAATACAGATAATCTATATTTCAGAGAAAGACACAGGTCAGTTCTAGTCTTAATTTAATATTATTACCAAAGCAAAAAATGAAACAACAGCAGTTAACAAATCAAAATAAAAAAAAGATTGATATTATACAACTTGATTGATCTATGTTTTATATTCACTATTTAAACAACTAGACAATCAAATTTGGACCATATCTAAACTCATTCTACATTGTTTATTCTTTGTTAATACAAAGCTTCTTGACATCCTGAGACGTGACAAATTTCCTTTAGCCAGATTTTATCATCTGAGATTCAATTCTTTTGTGAGTGTGTGTGTATGTGTGTGTGACTTTGTGTGTGTGTGTGTGTGTGTGTGTGTGTGAGAGAGAGAGAGAGAGAGAGAGAGAGAGAGAGAGAGAGATTGTGAAAATGAGCTATATATATTCTTTCAAACATACAGTTGTTTCAAAGGGTGAAGGACACAGCTGAAAAGGATTGATATTTGGTCCATTCCTCTTGAACATTTATAGAGAGATATTGCTTTGCATCCAAACTCTGAAAGGTTCGTGAGCCAAGGAGAAGTAGATTAGAGAACTGGTTGAGGATAAGTTTGGATAGCAATAGCACTTAGACTTATATACTGCTTCACAGTGCTTTGCAACCCTCTCTAAGTGGTTTACAGAGTCACCATTTGCCCCCAACAATCTGGCTCCTCATTTTACCAACCACAGAGGGATGGAAGATTGAGTCAAACCTTGAGCCGGTGGGCATCAAACTGCCAAACTGCTGGCAACCGGCAGCCAGTACAAGTAGCCTGCAGTACTGCTTTCCGACCACTGTGCCATCAGGGCTCTGGTGAGAACCATTCAAAAGCTAATAAGAAAAGTGAAATCTCTACACTTCAGAAATGTTTTTGGGGCACAATAAAAGAAAGACTGCCTTCAGGCACAATACAATTGAATTCTTCTTGGAACCAGATTGTATAAATTCACACGACAGGCCAATTCTACAATAAAAATTGATGGATACAGTAAATCCAATTGAGTATCCTGAAATTAGGAAAGACATCATTTAGGTTCATCCTCTTATTTTAAAAAAACGAATAGGTTTGTTGCCTCAATCTCTCTATTGATTTGTAGCCATAGCCATAGACCACAGTAAGTAAGCTATATTAGATTGTGGATGATTGTGGATAATCATTGCAATACATGATAGGTGTGGAAAGATTACCTGCCAAGGCAGCAGATTTGGAAATTCAACCCTTTGAATCTTTCTTGATTGGGATTTTGATCTTACTGCCTCATGCAAAGAATGTGCCACTGCATAAACAGCGTTGTAGATACTGTAGCTTTGGCCAGTCATCTGAATTTCAAACAGAGCACCAGGTAGATTCTCCAAATTCTCTTCTCCACTACAAGTTTCATTGATCGTTGAAGATAATTTTGTATTTGAAAATGAACAATCGAACAATTGCTCCCAAACCTCTTGAAGAAATGCATCTTTGTGGGTTGAAGGTTTGATGACTTGAAGAAATTCTTTAAAGCCTTGAATGTCTCTTGAATGTACAGTAAAGGAAAGAGCACCATGGAACATCTGAAAATCCCAACGCCTTTGACCTCCCATCAGAACGAAATCAATAGGATTCATTAGGATCCAAACCTTGCTACATAATGCACTCTCTTTATTTTCAGGATCACGTATAAACATGACAGTTCTGAGCCACGCTAT